CCCCAAAACCCCAAAACCCCAAAACCCCAAAACCCCTTATATGATTCATAAAACTGAATTATTTTAAACATGATGTTTAAAGTCTTAATCTAGACAAAGCTGTGATCATCCTGTTTATTTTGGAAGAACCTCTATCATTGGAGTAAGTTGTATTTCCTCAGCCAAATTATGAGATAACGAGCTTGACCTGGGTTCTTTTAAGTTTTTACAAATATACTTTCTGTTTTCACTTGTCCTCCTAGCTTGGCCAGAAGCAATCCCTCTTGGGTAAATCAATTGACTCAATGACAAATTGTTATTCCTAGCATCTGACACATTAGGAGTAGCTAGACCTTTTTGGGCAGTTGATTTGCTTATTTTGAGATCCGATTCTATAACTCTTTGGTGAAAAGGAAATTCCAACTAAATAATTTACCTTTCTTCCGAAAATCAAACGTAACTGTCTTGTCGATCTGCTCCCGCTGATTCCTAAAGCTGGTGAATGTCCCATACCTCTTTGAAGACAGCTTTGGCTGACTCACTGTAGGAAGGGCCAAGTCATATGCGGAAATAGGATTTCCATTGCAATCAAATAATCTTTTGTTCTTCTGACAATGCTTGAGTCTTCTCACTTTCAAGTGAGATTTATTCATGATATCCTGTAGCTAATTGATTAATCTGTAGATGATACCTTGGTCTGCCGCTTTTGGGTTTCCATAATTTTAGAAATCTTGTCTTTCTCCTGGTTGATCTGGGAAATATCAGAAAACCTAAATTTATCATGAGTGGGTAGTGGAAGCCTTACTTTAAAGAATCTGGCTTGGCCTTCCTCTTATTTTCTGTATTATTGGTTAAATTTTTGGTAAATATGTACGGAAAATCCTTACATCGTGACTGTCTTCTTCTTAAATGTAGGCGAGTCATAGCTTGGTTTAACAATCTTCGCAGGAGAGTTTTGGTATGGTAATGGTGGCTTTGAATCCAATTTTAATTTTTGGTTATTGGTGATTGATGAATTCAGAAAAATTCCAATAGCCTATGAAGTTATTCTCAAAATCTACCTTCTTTTTCAAACAAATTTCTGGGGTCTTATGTGAAGTATTTTTCTGGGACTTCTTCTGGTTTGATGAGATACTTTGAGTGGTCAATCATTTTTGAACACTCTAAAAAATAATCTATAAGCCTACCTCAGACTTTCATTGATATTGTGGATCTATTACAGGATCCCTTTCCTTTAAATCTGGGTTATATATAGTGATCTTTTTTGCAGTAGACCTTGTCAATCCACTCCTAAATTTATCACTCAAAAATCCTTTAAAACCCGACTCACTTCTGTAAGGAGTTACGAGCTCTAAGCCCAGCTCCATCCCTCCTCCCATTCTCATTGAGTGTTGCTATATTGAGGCCAAATACTGTATTTCTTTTCCTTTTAGAGCTATTGTGCCTTCGGACGTATTCCTTCAGTGGGTCAGGTGTTGCCTGCTCGATGGAAGAGTTTAAGAAACTTCTTCTCAAAGGTTTGCCATACTTATCATAACCTCTATGAAATTAGTTACTCCATAAAGTTTTACGAAACATATTTATTCCAAGAATTTAGGGAAAATTATGGTTTCATGCGATAGATGTATCAAAAATAATTTTGCGTGATGTAGTTTAGAATCACTCACTTTGGTCGCAGGACTTTTTCTGTATTTCTTTTCTCATTTTGCCTATACCAGTATGAGCAAAGTTTAACAGAGGAATTTTAGGAGGATTTGTTTGAAGTTTTGGGAATTTTTACCTATGAGCAAAGTAATAAATGGCTCCTCCATTATTCATTTTCAATATTTTTATTGAAATCTGGGGTTTTGGGGTTTTGGGGTTTTGGGG